GCTAAAACCTTGATAGCCTCGTCTGGTAGATTTCTAAGCATGGAGTAGGATATCCCATCAGATCCAGGAGCCGTATCCGATGATTTTATTACTGATAATATTTCTTGTTTTGTAAAAGGACTTTCTAAAACAGTATTATTTATGTTAAAGTTAGGTGTTGAAGCTAAAACATAATCTGGCGATAAAGTTTTTAAAAATAATTTAGCAACATTTTCATTAATACCTGTTCTAGCCACTTTATACCCTTTAAACCATCGCATACGATCCCACATGTCATAAGTGGTTGATATTTCGTTAAAAGATGAACAATATTTTTGCCACGACATATTGTCAGCTTCCCGAATTAATTTTTGATATTCGCTTATCTTATTTTGCAGTATAGTTAAATTAAATGGTGTAGGATTTTTTCTAAAACAAGCTAGAGCTAATCTACGTTCAGCGACAGCTTTAGATATATTACTGTTCCAGTAAGTTTTAGGTTTAAAATTCGGATTTTGAATTATTTTAATTAAGGGTATATATTTGTCCGCCGCTTTATTTATTAATAAAACAATTAAATCATAAGCTTCTTATGTATCATTTGGTAATATAAGGTTGGCAAAAACATTACTTAAATATTCCTTATACATATGCCAGTTAGCTTTTTTAAAATTTCTTTTTACAATAGGTTTAAAGGTTGAAGTAAGAAATGTAGACAGTTTAATAAAAAGGTGATCGCTACCTAATGTCTCATTAGTTACATTCCAGTAAATTTTAGCAGCTATATCTGATGACGCTATTGATAAATCGGGGGAAGATGACTGTAATCTATTATTAACTAATTTTATCCGAGTTGACTGCGGCCCATTTAAAGTAACAAAATTACTATTTAATAAAGCATTGAATATTTGAGAGCCCTTTTGGTCAGTTTTATTGGACCAGTTTGGATGATGTGCATTAAAATCTCCTAAAATTAATGTCTTTGTATTAGCAATAGAAAATAGAAAATCCCAATCTGACTCTGTAGTTCTTAAAGAGGGTGGACAATATACTACGATTATACTTTTAATGTCCAAGCAATTTAGAATTTTTACATGTAATAATTCCATTCCTAAATTAATATTAGCTTATATTGGAATCCCTTCAGCTTTTACTGTACAATGAGTTAAGATGGCCACACCACCATAACCATCTTGTCTATCTTTCCGAAAAATATTATAACCGCTAATTTTTATATTTGTCCCAGATTCTAACCACGTTTCACATATAGCAGCAATATATATTTCTTCTTGCCATAATAATTGTTTAAGAGTAGCTAATTTACCTTTAACACTTTGCGCATTCCACTGCATTAGGTTTAAATTATTAATTTTACTTTGATCACCTATTTCCAATATTAAATAATTGTTTTAATATTGTAAACGCTGATATTTTGCTTTCAATTATATATACGACCCATTCTAATACAACAAAAACTACCTGTTCTAGATGATGTTCTAGGAGATGTCAAAAACCTTATTCTGAAACCTTAATTCCCTGACGATCACGTTTGCTGCAAAGAATTCGAAAAAAGCATTAAAGTAAAACCGGAAAATTCGAAAAAGAATTTTATTTGAAATGTCAAATATTTATAAAAACCAAAGAAAATATAAGAAATACAAAAAAATGTAACCCCGGGGAAACTAAAATTTTTGTCTCTTTAGAACGCTCCTTAACGTAGCCATATCTAGTAATTAGTGACAAATAACTAATAATACATCAAAGAGATGAATTGGAAAAAAATCATTATGTGTTATACTATGTCACTCGACTGGAAATAAAAAAATTGTTAGATGTCCCTGTAACCTATAATGAAACCTATAATGGGGTCCCTGCTGGCCCTTGACGGGGAACGTGAGATTCACGAACTTAATCCCACAGCGAAACCCTATCGCTGTGATAGTTGGAGTTTGTACGATCGCTTTTGCATCCACAAGTTAAAGTTAAGCACACCTCATTTTGTTGAAATTTTAAAATATTTATTCAGAATATATAACAATGAATGGAGAGCTTTTAATGCAGATTGCCCTAGATCTGAAATGGCTTTGACTCCTATAACAGAAGTTGCATGTTATGTACATGCATTAGAAGCGATTAATATTGGTTACAGAAAAAAATACGTGAGAACTATATTTTCTACGACGTTTCTCCGAAATAAACGTAGAAATTAAAAAAAAATAATCAAAAAAAGATGTCGACTATCGTTAAAAAATATAAGAATATTTTAATCCATTCCATCTATTTTTTCGTTCGGAAACAGTACCAAAAGAAACAGATCCAAATCCGATCGGTGCAGTTTCTGACAGTTTTCATACGCCAAATAAAACTAATAAAAGTGAAAAATAAACGACTGCGAACAATAAAAATATGAGAGCTGCAAAAATGCAATAACTTGAAACGAATCGGCTTTAAACGGACGATTGTTAGAGCATTGTTTGATATAGCTTTTAATTAGAGTTGCCGTTGTGGATATGGGAGTTTTTATTAATAGCCATGAATAGAAATTAATATAGTACGTACTAGTGTTTAATAGCTACAGTTATGTTGTTGGTTTTTATCTAATGGGAGCGATTATGCTTTATGGGACACGAGTCAAATGGTCTATGTAAAAGTCAAAAGTTAGAAAATATACTACTTGTTCTCTGAAGTATACGACATTATAGTAAAAGAATAATACGTAATTTTAGTTTAATTATTGTTTGTACAGAACAATATAAAGATTATTCCAATCTCAATCAAGAATATAAAAATTGGACAAATGCTAGTCTGAATCACGCACTAAGGGTCTCGTGCTAACGTTAAATAAATTGTGTAATTTTTTAAATAATTAATAATTATGATTATACTAGCGGCTCACCCTCAAGAACAAGAACAAATCTATCCTACGGGAACCGTACAATTTTCCGGGATAAAAAGCAGCCTATTCGTTATTCTGATGCATGAACTATATTATTGTAAAGTTTCATTTAAATCCAATCAGTAGTTTTTGTGTAGTGAACTGTATAAGTTATTATATAGTTTAAACTATCCCGCGGGAACTTTAATTTTCCGGGATGAAAAATATCTCAAATGTTGACCAGAGATATAAGGTACCACCATGCAAAATTTTATTTAAATCTGTCCTACAGTTTCAGAGATTTATATTATAAACAACCACTAAATGTTAAGTGAAGCTTACCACAATATATTAGTAAAAACCACATCTAAATCGGATAAGCCGTTTCTGAGATTAGCGTGCACAAATGCACAGACAAACAGATAAAAAGACAAACAGACAAAAATCCAACAATCATTGTTGTGCTATTTGCGTTGGTAAAGGTCCCAATAATATTTTTTCTCTTATTTCTTCCATGTACAGATAGCGATCCATTACATTTTCATTATATGTATAGATAACTCAGCAACTTTTGACATAAATAAAAAATCATTTATCTCATTTTTAAATACCTATCCAAAAAAATATTTTAACATCTTAGTAACGTCTTATTTTATAAATAGCAAAATAATACTGACAATGCCCGAGAAAAGAGCTGTAACGTACAGACAGATGGCTCATCAAAATTTTATAATTTAAAACTTTAGCAAAATTACCCTAAAAACTGGATTATGCCATAAAAATATTAGTATAAAGGCACGTCCTTTAAATTAAGTTTGCAAAGCGAGTTTTGTGATAATAATAAATATTTTAAAACCATTCTAGTTCATACAAAACCTAACAAATGTGCCTTTTTATTTGTTAAACTAACTTTTATATACAACTGTATGATGAATAAAATATATTGATTTGTAGCTAAAATAACTGCTATACTGTGAATCTAGTCCCAATAATTTTACGATATGAGTTGCACTGCCTGTAGCATATGGCGTCATAGGTTCTATCTTAAGTAGACCATATGGGTACTTTGCGTGTGAGTGTGGAGTAAAACGTTTTCACGCTATTTATACAAATAAAAATGTGCAAAGAAGAAAAAATACGTATTATATTTTTTTTCAGATGACTAAAAACCAAATTCTTAGGTTTTACATATTAGTATACTCTTACATTGCAGTTTTTGTATTTTTTCTCAAAAATGAGATATTTACCCGCGGTAAAAAGTGTTCTATATGTTGACCCAGATAACCAGCTATAATCATACCAAATTTCATCAAAATCCTTTCAGCGATTTTTCTGTGATGCGGTAACAAACAGACAGACAGACAAGCAAAAATTCTAAAAACTATAGATTTTGCCTCTGTATCGATAATAATATTTACTTCAATAAGATTTTTCAAAAAATATTTAATGTACAGATTCGGCTTAGTTACAATTTTATTATATGTATAGATTAATAATAAATATATTATTATGTTGCAACATATACAAAGCGCTATGAGGTAAGTTATTAAGAAGTTTAACTGCAACTTATTTTAATGGTCTATTCCTTTTATAGCGGACAGTTTAATTTCCAAGTTATAGGTATTGCAACTGGCGTTATTTAAACTTTGCGTTGTTTGATAACAATGCTAATTTTTCTTGCTATCTTCTTATATTATTTTCTTTTAAAACTTTTATTAAAGAATGAATTTTCTACACAAGATAAGTTAAATTGTGTAGGAAATTCATTAATTTCTAGTTGTGCACGACTTATTTAACCGGACCTGGGTTTTATCCCTCGGAGAGCATGTAAAGCCATCGGTTCTGTGTTTTATCTCTTACCGGTAGTGTCGACTTTCATTTTCCGTAGGACACATTTTTATCATTTTTTTTAGCTAGACTTTAATTGTAAATCCTAACTGTTTGATGTATTTTCGATTTTTTACATATAAATTACTAAGGTAAGAGTTATAACGGTGCATATTTATTTTTATAATAGAGACTTACTTGATTATGTCCTAGGTATCTACATGTGTACCAAAAAATAAATACATACTATATTAATTATTTTATTTTATTAAGCCTTTATTGCTGAAGAACTACCAACAGAAAAACTAACTTAAATCTAACACGTCTGGTTTTCCGGTTCTGTTATCAGCGTGTCCTGTGACACATAGGCCTCTTCCAGCTGCTTCCACTCATTTCTATCTCTTGCTTTTCTAGGCCAGGTTTCGCCTCCAATTTTTCTTATGTCATCTATCCATCTCTGCCCGTCTTCCTCTTTTCCTTTTTCCATTGCGTGGTTGCCACTCTGTTATAATTTTTGTCTATATACAATATACTATATTAATTACTAAAATCTAAATATCTTAAAAATTCGTCCAGTTTTTAAGCGCGTTGATAGACACGTTACATAAGACAGACAGGACAAATTTTATATGATTTTTAAGTGTTCTATATAATATGCCTTTTAATTCTAAGTAATCGATAATATCAGAATGGAACAAAGTAATATGTCATGAAAGATAAGCACCCTTAATATTGATTTAATAACGATACTAGTTAAGGTTGATATGTACAATTTTTTTCCTAATTGGAAGATACAATGTCCATTCAAGCGATTTTATTCTTACCATAGACTTCATCTATTAGTTCAATAAAATAGTACAGTCGTACTTTTTGGAATTTTTAGCTGGTTCGATTACGGGCTCAGGTATTTTTATTTAATATTTAAATGCAGTAACAAATATTTTTGATAATGTAAAAATGGGTCCTTTGAGTGAAACTTGATACCTTCAATATTTAAGTTTTCTTCCATCTTTCCTATTTGTTTTTTCTACCCTTTATAGTAAACCACTACTTAAGTTACGTAAGTTAAGTAGGTACGCACTTCTTTGTAGATGTATATGATGATGTTCTCCTGACCGATTCCGGCCACGGCGGCCAACCTCATTGAGACTAACCAACTGCGCAGGAGATATTATAGTGCAGCGTGTGTACGCGCAGACACAACGTGCACTCTCTATTCATGTCACTCCCATACTCTGGTGGGACTACCACTCGACACGACCAGTGAGAGTTAAGACGCAGGACCGACGGCTTTACGTGCTCTCCGAGGAACGGGGGTGAAACACCGCCAACTTCCTAACTCCGGGCTGTTACTGAGGCTTACTATACAGAAAGACTCAATAACTAAACTTGGCCCGACCCGGGACTCAAACCCAGGACCTCAGGGTGTGCAGCCGTACATAATGTGTATATATGCATATAATATTAAAAACTGTACTATATAAAACAACACAGCGACTTAAGTAAAATTTTGAACAATTCTAACAATACCAGAAATAGGCGTCTAATATAATTTATCAAATCCCCAGCTTGTCAGCTTTCGACAGCCTCAGATTTATTTAACAAAGTTGATTCATTGTGAAGCTGAAATTTCATTTTGGATTGACAAATGTTTGTCAAAATTGATAAATACTAAAGCTTAGTAGAGCTTTCATACGTATTGTTTACAATCTACTAAAAGGCTGTTGCATTTACTTCACGACCACTCAAGATGACTTCCGGTTTATGATTTATTACCCTATTGCTAAGCCTCCGCCGTCCGTCCATCTGTCTGTTAGCGGGCTATATCTCATGAACTGGAATAGTCGAAGTTTTCACAGGGTGTGTATTTCTATTGCCGCTATAACAACAAATAAAAAAAAATAACCAAAATGGCGAATTTCAAAATGGCCGCCATGTAAATTAAAAAAAAAAAAACGATTAGTGTTATGTCTTATACGGTGGTACGGAATCCTTCAAATTTGGCCAGTTATTTTATTGTATTCTTTATTTTGAAACATAATACAATACAAATATGTGTAATATTTTTTATTACTTAAATAGGCAGTGGTACCCCAGTGGTAACACGCTCGATAGGCAAACCGAGTGAAACAGGTTCAAATCCCGGTTCTTGCACCTCTGATATTTTCATGTGCGAATGATTTCCAACATAATTACCACTTGTCTTACGGTGAATTAAAACATAGTAAGGAAACCTGCATGTCTGAGAGAACCTAGCAAGTTTTCGAAAGCCATGTGCAGTCCGCCAACACACATTTGGTCAGCGTGGTGGACTATGTCCTGATCCCTCTCGTATTGAAGAGAGGCCCGTGCTCAGCAGTGGGACGTCCAAAGGGGCTTACCATACTTAAATATTTGCCTGAAACTTTTTCATACAGGTAGTAAAAATCAAATTAACATTGTAAATGAAATAATTACACTGAATATTAATCAATAAAATGAATAAAAAAAGATGAACGGGATGTATCTCTCTTAAAATAACGAAGCTGAATATTTCTTTATATTCTTTATTAGATTGAACGTTATTTTTAGACATACCAGTCACATTGAAAATCCTTTTTGCATTTTATAAACTACTAGTCTTTGCCTGCAGCTTCGCTCGCGCGATTATAATCTTTATAAGATGGGGATAGCTACCTCGGTGGCTTAGTGGCTAGCATGTACGGTCGCTTATCTAGAGGTCCTGGGTTCGAGTCCCGAGTCGGGACACGTTCTGATATTAAGTATTTTTGTCAAGAAGTTCTCAGTGACAGCCTGGAGTTTGGAACTTAACGGTGTTGCAACCCCGTGCTTCGGAGAGCACGTAAAACTGTGGGTCCTGCGCCTTAACTATCGACACTTGTCGTGTCAAGTAGTCGTCTTACCGGAGTATGAACGTGACCGGGATAGAGACTGCAAGTTGTGTGCGCGCACACTTATGCACTATAATATCTCCTGCGCAGTTGGCTATTATCATATATCAATGGGATGGCCAACCGTGGTTGAAATCGGTCAGAAGGACATTATTATTATAAAATGGGGGTCAAGGGAGGGTTGCTTATGTCCCCCCCCAACGTGCGTTCACCTTGTCATGGTGGGGGGGCTCAGTAGTGTACTCGCGAATCCAAGAAACGCACAGGGAGGTGGCCCGTTTTGGCGGGCGGTGGGAGGCGGCCTTCTTCGGAGGGCGGTGTACCATGCGGGTTGCTCCTGGTACTTCTCTGATAGCAGAGTGGACCGTGGAGCAACCCCATGGTTGTTGTGGTCTGCTCCGGCAGACCTGCCGTCGGGGCGTCGTAGTTGAATGCGTAAGCGATCCTGCGACGCCCCATTAAGACGGGGGAAGGTTTTGTTGGGTTTTAGTGGGTAGTACTGGCTTCGCCGGTGAGTCCCACACTTCGTGCGTAAATGCATTTCCCAACGTTAAAAAAAAAGGGTTGCTTATGTCCCCTCTTCAACGTGCGTTCACCTTGTCGTGGTGGGGGGGCTCAGTAGTGTACTCGCGAAGCCAAGAAACGCACAGGCAGGTGGCCCGCTACGGTGGGCGGTGGGAAGCGGCCTTCTTCGGAGGGTGGTGTACCTTGCGGGTTGCTCCTGGTACTTCTCTGATAGCAGAGTGGACCGTGAAGCAACCCCATGGTTGTTGTGGTCTGCTTCGGCAGACCTGCCGTCGGGGCGTCGTAGTTGAATGCGTAAGCGATCCTGCGACGCCCCATTATGACGGGGGAAGGTTTTGTTGGGTTTTAGTGGGTAGGGTATCCCAAGATGCAATCTCTATGTCGATATGTATGTGCTTGCCAAATTTTATCAAAATCTGTTCAGCGGTTTTAACTTTAAAAAGTAACAGACAAAATTACTTTCACATTTATAATATTAATATGCATTAATTAAAGTAGGTCATTGGCTATCTAACATCCAGTTACAATACATCAGGAACGAAGCGAAATAAAGGACAAAATACAATATAAAATAGGTACACGAGTAGAATTGCGGGCAAAAGCAAGTAATATGTTAAAATTAGACTTGCTAAAATAATATTACAATCAAATTGCAGCTTTCAGCTTATTAATAAAATAACAGCGTATAAATAAATAACACAAATATAAAATATTCGAGTAATAATGAGAAGTGTTGCTGAAAATATTTGCAATTCATATTTTATTCATCAACCCTCTGTCTGGCTGTGCAATTAGGTGGGCTAGACTAATCTAACCCTTCCTAAACTTGTATGTGTTCGAAATTCGGAAATTCCGTGACAAGTAGAAACATTCTAATAATGTTTAGGCTGCAATGCCTCACTTTGTATATTTTGTAATTAATGTCACTATATGTTCAATGCCGTACTTGATAATGAATTTAATATTTTATGCGCTAGAAAACCAAAATGGCACTAACCTGCAACTGCTATCTTACTCGTAAATCCTGTGTGTGTCACTTTTTGCTTGTTGCTGTTCCTGGAAACTAATTTTTTGTTGTTTTCCTCTAGTTTGGATTACTTTTAATGTAGTATATATACTGTATAAATCTTAAATATTTATGTATGTATGTATATCCACTACGTCAGAGCGAGTAGTATGCGAGTGTTGCCAGTTTTTAAAACAGTTATTTAATGCGGGGTTCCCAGCTACAGTTAAAACTCAAACAGTCACCTTTTGGTTTTATGCCTGTTCCATAATAAAAAGTACTTGGGCGACCGAGTTACCTTTACGCTTTTTTCTTAATAGCTAAACTTAAAAAGCAAAACCTGATTTGAATACAGATTCAAATCTTTAGAGCTGTTTCAATTCAGTTCAATTTCATACAAGAATTGCTCATTTAATATTATAAGATTTACTATTTATATTGTTATTAGAGTTTACTCATTTATACTCTACATTGTGATGTTGAAGAAAAAAAACAAAAGTTACTCAGTAAAATTAGTAATAAATTCATCATGACCGATTTCGCCCACGGCGGCTTTAAATGAGAATATCCATGTGTGTTATTATAGTGCACAAGTATGGGCGCAAGCACAAGTACACTCTCTATTCCTTCACTCTTAAACTCTGGTCAGATGACAATTCGACTCGACCAGTGAGAGATCAGGTGCAGAAATAACAGCTTTACCTGCTCTCGAAGACATAAAGGTGTAACACGGTCAACTCCGGAACTTTCTCCGCCAAATTCAGATTATTACTGAGAATTTGCTAAAACCATACTTGGGACAGCGCTGGATTTACACTAGGGGCTAGTGCTGAGGGTGGCAACTATTCAGGGGCGGCAAAATTCAGAGGGTGAAAATAAAAAATATGATCTTAACTTAACGAAAATTCTTTTTGTATTTTCAAAAAAAATTAATAAAAAAAATTGCTACTAAGTATTATATTGATAACATTTAAAAATTATTTTTTTGTATTTTTCGAAAAATTAATAATTAAACGAATTTTAACTTTATCGAAACTTAATCTACTTTATGCAAAATTTTGATAATTGGGCGGCATTTTTTACAGTACCCAGGGGTGGCGCTAAGATTGAATCCGGCACTGACTTGGGACCTGGGATTCTGATCTGATCTCTCCGAACGTGAGAACTCTCAGAAACAAGTCTCCGAACTAAATTATCGAGGCGGTCGAACTCTTAACTTAATAAACAATCAAAATGCATTAAATGAATGAATGAATTGATACAGCCATTTCTGAATATTATATGTGTAGCGGCAAATTTTTATTTCCTCAAAAAGATACTTATCCCACTTTTGTCACTTATCTTATGGAAGTTCTATGGTCTCAATCTTAATCTTTCTTATTTTTTATTAGAATGCTCAACTCAAATATGCAAGAAATAACGGAGGCTTACTTTTAGCACCCCGCAAGTTTTAACGCTAATATATTTGAAAAACGATCACAAGCAATTTTCTTTGTACTTCTACTTACATTTGAAAATATAAATAGAAATTTTCCCGTTAACATTTCCTAGATTTCAACCTCATATAACTAATTAAGCATTTAAATCCATTTATAATAAATTAAATGGAACGTACGTTATAATGTAGCTCCGAATATAAAAGGTATTTAATTCATACTGTCTGTCTGTCCGTCTGGCGCGGCAATTAACTCGCCCGCGACAATTGAGTTAGGAGTTCTGACG